AAAGACCCAAAAAATTACACCAAAAGACTCAATTAGTAACCAACCAAATTCAGCAATGTAGCAGGTTATAAAATCAACACAAAAATTAATAGCATTCCTGTAAATAAGAAATTCACTGAGAAAGAAATTAGGAAAATAGTACCATTCGCAGCATCAGGAAAAAAGACATATTTTGTAATTCACCTACCCAGGCAAGTGAAAGATCTGGACAATGAGAACTACAGTCCTCTAAAGTAAAGAGGTCAAAGAGGACATCAGGAAATAAAAAGGCGGGCCCTGTTCCTGAATTGAAATAATGGATGCTGTGAAGTGGCCATACTTCCAAGATAATGCAGTGCCACTCAGAACACCACTGCCATTCCATGCAGACCTATAGAAAACAGTCCTAAAATGCATGTGGAACCTAGAATAGTGAAGACAGTCTTGGGTAACAAAATCAAAGAAAGAGCTTCATAATCCTAGATTTTAAATTATACTACAAGGCCAGGGAGATAGCTTGGTGGCATAAGCACCAGCCTGGCAAGCATAAGGTCCCCAGTTGTTCTATCCCTAGTACTGCAAAAACAAAAACAAAGCCAAAAACATCTCTATCTATCTATCTATCTATCTATCTATCTATCTATCTATCAAAGCTACAGTGATCAAAGCAACATAGTACTGTCATTAAAACAGACCTGTGAGTCAGTAGACTAGAACAGAGGATACAGAAACAACCCCAGGCACATTCTGCCATCTTTGATAAAGAGGCAAAAGCATATGCTAGAGGAAAGACAGCCTCATTAATAAACAGTACTGGAAAAACTTGCTCTCCACATGCAAGAGATTGAATCTAGACCCATCTCTCTCACAATGTAATAAACTACAAATGAATGAAAGATCTAAATGTAAAGCAAACATTTTATCTAGAAGATAAAACAGGTAGCTCTTGAAGTTGTAGAGAAGGAGTTTCTGAACAGAATCCCAGTTGCGCAAGAGGTAACACCAAGAGCCAACAAATGGAACTGTGTCAGGTTAAAAAGCTTCTGCACAGCAGCAGAGGGCACAGCCAGCAGAGTGAAGAGACAGCCTACAAAACAGGAGAATATTTTGCCACCTACTTGAACAGAGGACTGATAACACTGAGATGCCATCTTACCCCAGAAAGAATGGCCATTCTCAAGGAATCACTAGAAAGGTTGGCAAGGCTGTGGGGGAAATGAGCCCTTGTGCCTTGTTCATGGGAGTGCAGACTGCCAGAACCACTGTGGAGATAGCAGAGAGATCCCACAAAAAATTTAAACTAGGGCCAACCAAATAGCTCAGTGGGTGCTGGCCCCGCCCCCAGGGCACCCTGAGACAGCAATTGAGACTGGGCATGTTGGCGCGCGCCTATAATCCCAGCTCTTGGGAGGCTGTGAGCAGGCGGATCACTGTGGGTCCAATCTGGTAGTGAGACCCTGAACACCCTGTAGACCCTTCCCTAAAATACAAAAAAAAAGCAACCTAAAACTAGAAATTCCATTCTACCTAGCTGTTCCCCTTCTAGGTATCTTCCTGAAAGAACTAAAGACGCACTACTGTGATATATGCATACCCATGTTTATAGTAGTGTAATTCATCGCTAAATATTTAAAGGAGCCTATATGTCCATCAACAGATGTACAGTTAAAATAAAATCTGGTATTTACACACAGTGGAGTACTTCTCTGCCATAAGGAAGGATAAATTTGAGTCATTTGAAGGAAAATCTTATGTAACTGCAGTCATCAAAACTCGGGAATTGACATTTGCACAGCACAACCGACAGCAGTCTTCACTTTGATTTTGGCAATTTTTGAAGCACTCATTTTCATACAATATATGTATATGTCTGTATATCCTTAGATGATACTACAATATAGTTTTAGCTTGGCATAGTGGTGCATGCTTGTATTCCCAGCACACTGGGAGGCTGAGGATTCCAAGTAAGCTTTCAAGTTCAAGACACCAGGACAACCATCTCAAACAAAAAATAAATAAAGAGGGCTGGAGATGTAGCTGTGTGAAGACTCTGGGCTTAATTCCCAGTACTTTAAACAACAACAACAACAAGTTACTATTTTTTTACTGGACAGATTTTTATCTTCAAAGAAAATTATTTTATTGATGTATTTTAGGTATACATAATGATTACATTCATCATAGGAAATTTATACCTGCACATGATACAACTTGATTCCCCACTCCCTTCCCTTCAACTCATCTTCCCTGCTTCCTCTCTTCCTTATTTATAAAAGCTTTATTTCCATTTTTTTCTTTTCTCATTTTTTTCTTCCTTTCCCCCACCTCCTCCCTTGTTCCCCTTCCCATTTGAACATTTTCTTCCTGTTTCACAATATTTGTTATACATTTTGGTCTTCATTGTTTTAGTTTCTCACACCAGAGAAACAGTGTGGTATTTATACATGTGTGTCCAATTTATTTCATTTAAGAATATGGCCTCAAGCTGCATTCATTTACCTAGAAATGTCTCATATTTGTCCTTCTTTATGGCTGAGTAGTATTTAAAAAAAACAAACATCTCCAGTTGATGGGCATTTGAGCTGTTTCTAAGATTTGGCTATTACAAATTATGCTACTGTAAACATGGGTGTGTATATATCACTACTGTATGATGCTTTCTATGATGCTTGGTATCTTGTAAGGTACCAAGAAGGGGAATAGCTGGATCAAGTGAGACCTATAATAATCAGTGTTTTGAGGAATCTCCATGCTAGTATCCACAGTGGTTGCACCAGTCTACACTCCCAATAATGGAGAAGGGTTCCTTTTTCTCCACAGCCCTGACAACATTTGTTAAATCGGTAGATTTGATAGCCATTCTTTCTAGAGTGATATGGAATCTCATGGTGGCACATGCAGGTAATCCCAGAACTTCGGGAGGTTGAGGCAGAAGAATTGCTATGAGTTCCAGGCCAGCCTGGGCAACAAAGTGAGTTTAAAGCCAGCCTGAACTGCATAGTGAGACCCAGTCTCAAAAAGACCAAAAATTAATTACTTAATGACCAATGATGCTGAACATTTTTTCATACACTTCTTTGCCATACAGTTTTGTTTTGTGTTTTGTTTTTTTTTTTTTAATCTGAGAAGTATCTGTTGATTTCAGATGCTGATTTTTGGATTGAGTCTTTGAATTTGTTTTTTTTTTTTTTTTTTCCAGTGTGTTCCTCTTTATTCATTTTCAGAGTACAAACTTAAACTTGGATAAGCTGAATTAACCCAACCCACCTCTGGCAGGTACACTCAACATGCTGTATAAAGTGTAACATTCAATTTTATTATTTCTTTCTCAAGAGTTTTCTTCAGTCCATTAAGACCCAGCTCCCCTTACATGGGCTTTGGTGGAGGTCATGGGGCAGCACCAGCAGGTCTAAATCGGGGTGGAAGAGTTCGGTCCTTACGGGCTTCACGAGATCGATTTCTGACCACTTTCTGTGAATGGCACAACTCACACAGTAATGCAGCTTCACATACAGCTTGGGAAGCACATAACCGTCGAAGACACTCGCTTCGGAAATGTCCCTGACGGCGGCGGCCTCCACTATGTTCCTAATGACAAACTTCTTAATAGCCTTATCCTTGGGTACGCACCGGGCGCAGTTCGTGCAGCGAATAGGCTGCACATGACCGCGGCCCTTTTTGGCACGACCGTTGTTCCTTCTTTTTTTCGTCATCTTGGAAAAGAGGACCCGAAAGAGCAAGTCTTTGAATTTGATAGGTCTGCTTTTGGGGGGGGGTTTGGTTTGTGTGTGTGTGTAAGTGTCTTTGAGACAGGGTTTCACTATGCAGTTCAGCTGGTCTTGAACTCACTTTGTAGCTCAGGCTGATTTAAACTCACAGCTATCCTCCTGCCTCAGCCCCTAAGTTCTGAGATTAAAGATGTGCATTATGATGCCCAGCTTTTTGAGGTTTTTTTCCCTTTTATTTTTGTACCAGAAGTCAAACTCAGGACCTTGTGCTTGCTAGGCAGGTGCTTATGCAACTGAGCTGTCTCCCTGGCCCTTGAGTTCTTTATAAGAGTAATTTTAGATTTATAGAAAAGTTGGGAAGATAGTATGGAGCGCTCCCATACAGTCTTTATCTGCTTTCCCTTGTTTATCTTCTGTGTGTGTGTGTGTGTGTGTGTGTGTGTGTGTGTGTGTGTGTATTTGGTACAGGGTCTGACTGTGCAGCTTGGACTCAGTGATCCTCCTGTCTCAGCCTCCCCAGCAGTGGATTTACAGGTATGTGCCATCATACCTGGTCTTGGTGGTGGCGCGCGCAGGGGCGGGGCCAGCATAGCATGTAGTGCTGGGAATCAAACCCCGGTCCCTGCGCTTGCCTAAGCAGACACTTTAGTCCACTTAGTTATCTCGCTGCCCTCCCATGTTTATCTTAAACTCACCTGGTGTATTTGTTGTTGCTAAGAAACCAACATTGATGTACTGCAATTAATTAGATCTATACTTTATTTGGATTTTTCTAGTTTTCTCCTAAGGTCTTTTTTCAGGTTATGGTTTCCATCCTGAATCCTGCAGCTAATTTAGTAATTCTGTCTCCTAAACTCATCTACACTATGATAGTTTTTCAGAATTTCCTTCTTTTTGATAATCGTGACTCTGAGGAACACTGCTCACTGAGTTTGGAAGACAGTCCCACAATTTGGGCTTGACACGTCTTTCTTTGTGGCTGGGCTGACTTGTAGGCTTTGAAAGGAAGGCCATGGAGGTGGAACAAGGGTTTCTGCCATCAGTAGGACCCTGCTGAGTTGGTCATCACCTGGGTGAGGTAATGCTGGCAGATTTTCCAGTGGAAAGTTGCCTTGTCCCCGTTTTCGTTTTCTGAAGCAAGCTCTCAGGCAATTTACACACAAGGTATGGGTAGATTTGCCCTCTCTCAGGCAGTGTGCTAGCAGAAATGAATTGAACTCTTCTAACAGGTGTCTTTAAATTGTATGGAAATAGCATGAGCACTGAGTGAGCCTAATGCATCTGCTTTTGCAGGGTGGGAAACCTCGAAGACCCCGGAAGGATCGGCTGCAAGACTTAATTGATATAGGCTTCGGCTATGATGAGACAGATCCATTTATTGATAACTCAGAAGCTGTGAGTAATGTACCTTTAATATAGAAAATGGTTTGGGATAGTGAAAGTCCCTGGCAAAGTAACTTATATACTTCATTGAATGGTTTTGTTTGGGCTTTTTAAATATTCACTGCTTGAAAATGTCATACGAGGTTGCTTTATGGTGAGTCAGTATATTACTGCACCAGACCAGGTTTTAGAACATGTTTTGCTTTGTTTTCTACACAAAGCTGAGTGGTGTACAGGCTCTTTGAACCGTACAGTTGCAGTCATAGCTATTCTGCCATTGTAGGGTGAGAGTAGGCTATGTAAATGATGGCTGTGGCAGTGGTAGAGTGAAATTTTATTGATGAACTCTGAAATTTAAATCTGTAAGTTTGTTTCTGTTTGTGTTCTGATTGTGCTGGTGACTGAACCCAGGGCTGTGCACATGCTAGGCAAGAACTCTACCCCAAGCTGCACTTCTCAGCCCCAAAGTTCCTTGTTGTAACATAGTAATGGTCTTCGGAGTTTCTTCCCCAACCATTTATGAAATGTAGAATCCATTGCTAGCTGACTGGATACTGGTAAGCTGGGCTTGGCTGGCAGGCACGGTTCACGAGCCCTGTACTGAGCTGATCTTTGGGGTATGCTGTGCACCTTTCCAGGTCCTGAGAGAATCTGGAGGTTCCTTAGTAGTTGGCTCATCTTCATTTTCTTTTTTCTTTTTTTTTTCCTTATGTATTTGGCACAGGGTCTCACTGTGCAGCTTGGACGCATGGTGATCCTCCTGTTTTCAGCCTCTCCAGAGCTGGGATTACAGGAGTGTGCCACCGTGCCTGGTCTCGGGCTGGCTCAGTGCACCCACGGGCAGGGCCAACACAGCGTGTGGTGCTGGGGATCAAACCTGGTCCCTACACGTGCCTCCGCAGGCCCTTAGTCTGCTGAGCCATCTCACCAGCCCTTATCTTCAAACGTGTGTAGGTGGTATTAATTCCATCATCATCTCTTGCCCAAACTGAGAGCAAAAAGTAAGATTTTTATTAAAAAGGGAAAGAGATAAAGTTCTAACCAAATGGTGAAAACCGTTACATTACTACTGGTTTTCAAGTAGGAGTAAGAAATATTGGAAAACTTATTGTAACTCAAATCTGTGGAATAAGAATTTCTGGAGGTCAGGCTTAATTAAGAGATTTTTGGGGAGTAGGATTATTATAGTTCTTGTGGGTTTTTTTCTTGGTAAAATCAGTAACTTATCGTAAAATACCATGGCAGTAAAGCAGAAGATAAAGTACCTCAAATGCTTCCTCTCCCTAAGGTAAACTCCATTTTTATTTCTTCTGTAGTGGTCTAGAAATTTCCATGTAACATACAACCTGTATATTCTTTTTTTTTTTTTTTTTTTTTT